TGGGATGAAGGATGTGACTCTCCCTCAAGGTGACGGCACTCGTAATTGTGTCACTCCAGCCAGCAGGCTGAGGATGCGACCCAGTTTTGGTGCCTGTTATGTGGCTCACAGCAGTGCTGACAAGCTAGAAAAGCTAAATTTAGGAACTAAACAGGCACAGTGTTACACACCCGGTCAGGACTCACTCTGTTACGAGACGGCAAGAGAATCAATGCCATCCGCTCCCGCTCACCACACGCGTTACAGCATCGCTGCAAACCCTCGCCACCCGAGTGGGAAGCGTTACCAAGTCACTCAGAATAAAATTGCCACTAAATGCTGTTTTGGGAAGGGGGAAAAAAAAGAAAAAAAGCCAATCCTGACTCTTTCTCAGGCATTGTAGGAAATGAAAACGGCTATTGCTGCCTGGTAGAGAGTCCAATTACGAATAATGTGCATTCTCGCCCTGCACAAAGGATGAAAAGCATCAGAGCTGGTGGTGACATTTTAAGACCGGAGATGTAAGAGCGAATCCAAGCCTCATTGCAAACCCAGCTTTACCCCAATAAAGAAACACTTTCTGCAGTCAATTGCTTTGCAGTGTAGCTTGAAGCCCCACTATTGATCTGGCATCTGTTATAAGCAGATAATCATCGTCGCTGTGCTGTGGCTTCTACAACTAGATCTAAAAGCACTTTCCAGAAGATGGTTGAGGGCTGTTTTCCTGCTCTCACCCACAGCTGCAGGCAAGCAGAAGTTTGCAGGGGAGCCTACAAAACTCTTGCAGGTTTGTAAAATCTGAAGGTCAGAAAAGACCATTAAATCACTCTGACTCGTTCACCTCCCAACTCTGTAAACTTCAACTAAGCAACGAGTACTCCCCGCGAGGCTCTGCCTGCTGCTCCAGCCCCAGAGCTGCTGAAATCCCCCAGCTTCAAGCATTTTATCCTGCCCCCAGAAAGTTTCTTGGAGCTTGACTCACTGAGGTTGGGATCCTGACAGCTCCCAAGCTCCTGGCCGCTTTCCAGCAGCCTGGGAGGTTTTGGGCCAGACACTTTCCCCTGAGTTTAGCAAGAAGTGGTCAGAGGTAGGAGAAATTGGGCTGCCAGTGCCTCCAAACTCCCCCCTCCCTGACAGCACAAGCACTTCTTATCCACTTGGCAGATTCCTCTAGTCTCCAAAGAAGGAGAAAAGGATGGGAAATTAAAAATAAATGAACCAAGAGATACACATCCATCAGGAGCCAGGCGTTGTCAGCCCAGGTCCCTGTGCAACTACTTCTTTAATCAAAACCTCATGCAGTTTAAACACTTGACAGAAGTCTAGGAACAGAGATCTTGTTACCCTGAACAGAAAAAGCTGCAACCTTGAAGAATAACATCACGTTTGTCTGATGGGGTTTATTTCCTTTAAAATCATGCTAAATTATGCTAAGCCTGTTCCTAACTGTGACATCTGAGGTATCGCCCTGCAGATTCCTGCGAGATGTACTGGTGTCTCGAGGGGGTCACCGGAGGTGACGGGAGGAGCAAGCTCTCAGGCAGCAGCTGAAGATGTGCCATTTCTAAATCGGTCCGTGACGCCAGCCGTAAATTTTTAAGAGGCTCAAATCAAGAAAAAGACTGCTGATGGATGCACTCCCCACTTGAAACTCACTTGCGTGGTGACGGACGTCAGACTACCTGGCTCATGGTTATGCCATTTGCCTGTTTGCTATTGAGAGTGTCAGAAACCTTCCAGCTTTCTAGAAACAACCTATGTGCCAAGGCTCAGCGAGCTCTCTAATGCCTCCTGCATGCAGGTTAATTGCCTCTCCCGGCTTGAAAATCTTGTCCCTGATGAGCTGTTATTTAATATCTTCCTTAGTTACCCAGGGATGGGAAGTTTATCCCATCGTTCTGCGGCTTTCCAAACACAGATGGGATTTATTGAAGTTTCTACTGCTCTGACCTCATTAACATTTTATGGCATGGCTCCAGCGTCGTGCCTACTCCTCTCCAGGTGCTCCTCAACAGTCCCACCACAGCTCAGGTCTCCTGGCTGCATTGAACATCTTTGGGGAGTGACTTCATCCCCAAAATGGCTCTGCTGCTGCCTTTTGGGACCTCACCCGCACCCTGCCTCATGGGGGACCACGGCTCCCAGCAGCTCCTTTCATAACAGCTACGGTGGGTGGGAAAGCAGAGACAGTACAAGAAGGATAGAGGAAAGAAAAAAGGGGGGAAAAACAGAGAATAGTGCAGGAACACATTCGAGCTGTGCCATGGACAATGTAACCTGGGAGCCACCTGAGGACGGGTGGGATTTTAATTGGCATGGAGCTGGGGAAGCAGAAAAGGCAGTGCAAGCCCTGGGTTTGGTGGGGAAAAGCAGTGGGCAACCCTGGGGGTACATTCATGGTACCCCCTGGCACATGCCTGCAGGGAGGAGGGTGGGAAATTGGAGTCCTGAGGTGTTTTTTGGAGAGATTTTCTTCCCTGTGGAGAACAGGAGGGAACATCAGCACAGCCTGGCTGGAGTCCTGCAAATTGCCCCACTTAGGCTCTGGTCCTGTAAATTGCTCTCTTAACCAAAGTACATAAATCAACCTGACAAGCATCACAGTTTTCTCCGGAGCCACAGTCCCCTGCAGCCTTCGGAGTTCATGCTTCATCCCCCAAATTCTGCAGGCTTTGTCCCAAAGAAACATGCCTGTTGCTTACCAGGGCCAACACCTCGCTATGCTCAAGGCCTTGAGATGTGCCTCTCCATTAGCAGAGCATCACACGGAGCTGGGGTTTCCCCACCACATATTTATTCAGAGGTTCTGCACAGTGAGGACAACCCGGCGCCAAACTTTGCAAGAGGCAGACCTGGCCAGAATTCAGCTGAAAAGGGGAATTAAGACACTGAACAAAATCAATGCATCCCCACCCAATTTCTACCCAAATCAGGAATTTCATGCACAGGAGGGGTTTTGACCACGATCCCACAGTACTTATTAAGCACAGAGAATGCTTGGCAAAGCACAGAAGTCCAGTCTTTGCACTAAAGCTCCTGTGAGCCCAAAGTAATTCAGATGCAGAAGCAATCTCAGCTGCTGGGAAGGAACTCAAATAGCAAAAGACAAAGGGAGCCTGTGCAGGGATGCAGAGAAAGCAAGAGCTGCTGGCTAGGTGCGAGCAGGGGACACTGATCACATGGAAAAAAGGATGGGGAGGAGGTAAAGGGAAAATCCAGGGATGGCTGGGGCCACTCCTGATAAAATGCACCCGATAGCGGAGGCTGGCTCGGGGCTGCAGCTCCCACAGCCCCCCTGCAAGACCCATCCAGCAGCACCTGGTGTGAGCCACGCACCGGGACTGGCAGAGCCTGACAACGCCAGGGAGATGCTCGGGGACCTGGGCAGAGCAAGCGCATGGACAGAGGCACATGGACTGCGAGAGCCACCCGGTCTGTTACAGCCGGGGAAACATCTAGTGCCACTCTCACCTCCCCAGAGCTTTCCACCACCAACGCACCAGCTCAGGTTGCTCACTGCAAACCCATGCAGAGATGCCTTCAGCTCCCAGGCGCAGGCCCTGCACGTCTTGCTTGCAGTGCCACCTGCCGCCAACGGCATTGCTCTTCAGACGCTGGAAGGGGACAACAGCAACGCAGAGCAATGAACTTCCTGCTGTTACATCAGCTTTCCCTGTCCTTTAACAGCAGCCAAACTCTTGATCCAAAAAGCAACTCTATTTCCCAAGCTGCTGGCATCCCACGAGTCGCAGGCGTAGCAGCAGACGCTAATAAAGTACTTTTGTTTTTTTTCTTTCCCTTTTATGCAGTTTCTCGCTGGAGCCAGTCTCTCCCCCCAGAGACCACATCCTGAATCTTCTTATTCATTGATTCTTTATGCTAAACGATGACTCCGCAGTCGAAATAACGCGGCATATTCTTGTTCTCATTTCAGACACCATGAGACTTTTTAATAACGAGTTGCATGAAAAATTAGGGAGGCTGCAACAAAGAGCTCCGACGGAGATTTCCAAAGTGACTCACAGCCCTGAGAGTCTCACTTTTCCAAAACCCAGCGTCAGACAATCTCAAGAGTCCCCATGTTCAGAGAGAGATGAGTCCTCCCCCTCTGGAAAAATAAGGCCTTTTTAAGGAGAATTCCCCAGGGTGAGAATCCCTGCGAGGTTTGGCGAGTGGTTTTGGGGATTTTGGCTGAGATGACATCCTGTTTCTATGAGTGCTCGCAGGGAGAAGGTTTCATCCCACACCTCAGCTGTGCTGCCAAGGGTGCTGCGGGGTAGGAGTCACCTCGTGCTGCAGCCAGCCTGAGCTCCCTGCTTGGCACATTGGCTCTGCAATGCTCCCAAACACAGGCGGCGATAATTCTCACTGCTCTTGCAGGGAAGTGACAAACCACAGCCGTAAAGGGCAGCGGAGACTCTTCCAGTCTCTGCTCTTGAAGTGTTACAGCACCCACAGAGACAACAAGCATCACCTGTGCATAGGTATCCTACTCCTGCCAGGTCTGCAGCTCTTTGCCAGACTTTGTAGCATGATGGAGGGGAAAATTCTTCAGGTTAACTTTTTTGGCTGGCTGTTTTTATTTCCTGCCAATCACACAACCAGCTGCCAACATATTTCAAGGAGAAGCAGCAGGCAACATATCCAGTGCAGTCCCAGTGGTGACCAGTGCCTGGCTGCTGGGGTGGGAGGTGTGTCAGGAAGTGGCTGAAGGATGGATCTGATCACTCTGCTCCCTCTCCCAGGCTCAGCTTCTAATTCCTTCTCCATCCCGCGCTGGCTCCCGCCTTCACCTCCTCTGTGACACCCGTCACAGCCACCCCCAGCCCCAGGAGTTCTCTCTGCAGCACAGCTCCCTGCTCACCCACTTCTAACGCCTAAAAACTGAGCACTGCTCGCTCCACCCAGCCCACCAAACTTCCCCAAAAGAGGTTTTTCCTCCAGTGTGGCCCAAAGGAGATCCCCTTGTAGCTGGAAAAGGCTAAAAATAATGGGGCAGTCGGCGTGCAGGGTGCTCTTACCACGTTCCAGAAGAGCGGGTTAAAGGCGATGGTGAGGACAGCCGCAATGAAGCCAGAGTCGGTCACATCCACGTAGCCGAAGAGCTGCACCATGGCTGCCACATCCACCTGGGGAGGGAGAGCCAGTTACTGAGGCTGCAGGTTCCTGGGAGAGCACTGGGTGTTGCACCCAAATACGAAGCACTTGATCTCAAACCAAACACATCAACTGCCCTACAAGAGCAGCCCAGTCTTTTAATGGCCCCAAGCAACACGTTGTTACGACTGGCAAAGCGCTGTGCCAGGGTAGAAAGCCAAGAAGAGGGGTGGGGGTTCCTCCAAGCTGGCTCCCCCAACACACCTTGGGAACACTGGGCTCTCTGGGAGCCCCGTGTGTGCAGCAGTGCCCAGAAGGACACGGGCACTGTGAGGACACTGCTGCTGCAAGGACGGGCACCAGCGCTACGGGGCAGCTGCCAACCCAAGCGTGTTTCCAAGCCACAGGGAAGGGAGCACCAATTCACAGCGCCTCAGTGTCCCCGGGGACAAGGGACTGTCCCAGGGATGCTGGTCTGTGTGGAAACTCCCAACAATGAACTGTGTCAGCCTCAAACTTGTCTTCTGTAAAGTAAAAGTGATGAAAATCCTCTCCACAGTGAGGGGGGATGAATTTGCATTTTAAGAAGCTGCAAAAGACCTTCCTGTTTTACTTAATGACAACAACAACAGAAAACTCTTAAAGCTCACTGCTTTTCCTCCTTTCTCCTTTAAAAAAAAAAGATATATTTTTCCCAGGATGGCTCCCTGACACTGTCAGCACTTTTTACGTGCAATAAGCCACGCTGCTTCTCTCTCCCTGCAGTGGTATTTGGAAGAAAAACAGCCAGTGCTTTTATTTTTTCTTTTAACGCCAAAAACTTTGAAAACAAAAGACAAAATAGCCCAGCCCAAGCCCTTCCCTCACTTGAATCCAAATCAAGACATCGAGACATGGAAGGTTTTCACTCCCCAAACACAGCTGTGTTTGCAATCCTTCAGATGCCAAGGGACAGGAAAGGCTCGAAAAGGCATCGGCTCCACCTGGCCCATCGGGAAAGAAATTCCCACTGGTTCCTCAAGGGCTTTTCAAAGGAACCAGAGCTGCAGTGGGATTCATGGAGAGGGGCTGTTGAACCTGCTGTCTCCTGTAGCCAAGAGCAAAGGTCCTGGGAATGGCTCCTGTGCTGTCCCAGAGCATGTCCAGCTGCTTCTGCACAGCCGTGACCACTTGCAGTGCAAAGGGCAGGAGCAGAGGCCAAACTGCCCCAGGGAAACAGAGGATCCTCATGGGGGTCCATGTCTGCCTCCAAACCACCCCAGCTCCCCCAGGCTCCTCCATTCCAGCCCTCAGAACACAGGTGCTGGTGAGGAACAAAGGGAACAGACTCCAGCACCTGATCCTGACCCATTTCCCCCATTCCCACCCTCCCCAGCCTCTCCTCCACTCCCTTCACCCCCGACCAGCCCTTCACCATCAGACCTCATCCCTTCAAACCAAGCACTGTCAAGCCGTAACCCGGGCACCCAGCCGCTGGCACTGGGACCGAACTGTCTGGTCCCGCTTCAATGGCAAACCCGTGGGACCAGGACAGCTTCTTTCCTCTCATTTTGTACGGTGCTGAGCACACCGCCAGCACAGGCTGAACAAAAGCTTCTTGACCTACTAACTCCTGGCTGGCAACATCGTTAACATTGCACTCACCTTCTTTTCTCCTCAACAACCAAATTCGTTGCTGGCAGCGGGAGGCAGATTGGCCTGTGCCTAGTCTGTGCTTTTAGGGATAAAAGGGGAGCCCATTAGGATGAGCTGTCTCTGCAGACCACTGGGACAGCCACCTCAGCACAGAACATTCAACTTTGCTCCCTCCTCCCTGATGGGTGATAAATAACGGTGGCAAACGCTTGCTCGCAGGTCAAAAGTCAGGGAGGATGAGAGCTGCATGGGGACCCGAGCGAGGGAATCAAGGGCAACAGAGCAAGAGCTGCACAGACACCTGAGTGAGAGCTGCACGGGCAGCTGGGTGAAAGCTGCATGGGTGCTCGGGTGAGAGCTGCAAGGGCACCCAAGTGAGAGCTGCACAGGCACCCAAGTGAGAGCTGCACAGGCAGCAGAAGAAGAGCTGCACGAGCATGCAAGTGAGAGCTGCATGGGTACCCAAGTGAGAGAATCACGGGCACCCCAGCAAGAGCTGCATGGGCAACAGGGCAAGAGCTGCATGGGCACCAGAATGAGAGCTGTACAGGCATCCAGGCAAGAGCTGCACAGGCAGCAGGGGAAGAGCTGCACAGGCACCCAAGGGAGAGCTGCACAAGCACCCAAGGGAGAGCTGCACAAGCACCCAAGGGAGAGCTGCACAAGCACCCAAGTGAGGGCTGCACGAGCACCCAAGTGAGGGCTGCATGGGTATCCAAGTGAGAGAATCATGGGCCCCCCAGCAAGAGCTGCATGGGCACCAGAGTGAGAGCTGTACAGGCATCCAGGCAAGAGCTGCACAGGCAGCAGGGCAAGGGCTGCATGGGCACCTGAATGAGAGCTGCACAGACACCCAGGCAAGAGATGCACAGGCACTGGGGTGAGAGCTGCAAGGGCGCC